TCAACATTATTGGTCACTTCCTTCTGTAGGGAACCAAGGTTTTCATGAATTATTTCTAGAGGGGGTTTGGTCTGAGGTCGACTTGACTCGTCGCTCTGATATAAAGTTTCTCCACAAGTTCCCGACGAGTTCTGCTGAGATGTAGATTCAGAAGACATTCGAGTATCCCCCTCGATGGAAGTTCCAATCTCCTCTAAGAGTGCATCTGAAATGTAACCGTGCTCATCAAACCGGACATGAGAAGATCTTATAATCTTCTTCCCGCTTCTCGATGGCACGTAAAGCCGATAGATGCTATTCCCTTCATATCCAACCAATATACCAGCCTCAGCTCTCAGGGCTAGTTTGGCTGCGTGAGGTCGTTTTTCTATTGGAATTTGAACATATGCCTTGCATCCAAGCACTCTAAGATGGGCTATGGATGGTTTATTGTCATCTGTGGGGTGGATATGATCCATGAACATTTCAAATGGTGTTTTGTCAAACACTCGATTTGCTGTTCGATTTGTGATATGCGTGACGGCGCGTATTAATTCTGGCCAATGGAATTCAGGTATAGCCTGATCCACCATGACGGTTCGCAGCTTATCAAGTATCACGCGGTTGGATCTTTCACTGCCCCCATTTTGATACGACGAGTACGGCGTTGTTACTTCAAGGTGAGTACCCAACTCTGTCATTAGGTTACTCAATTTAGAGCCTCCGAACTCCAATCCTCCGTCTAGAATAAACTTCTTAATTGTACGATCATATTGAGTTCTTGTTTCAACGGCGAAGTTCTTGACATTTTCGAAGGCTCCTCTCTTCTCTGGATGAGTTATAACCCATCTCATGTTGGTGGCTAAATCAGTAAAAATGGTGGCATACTTTTGATTCATAATTCCTTCAGGAATCACTTTTATCACGTCAATACCCACTGCATCAAAGATTTTCTTAGGCTTGGCTCTAGCCTCTTTGCTGACACGACGAATTGGCTTACTCAATTCACATGCCTCGCACAACTCACCAGGACGGACGTTAGACTTGTCCATGCTGTCCGCGTACTTCATTCCATGGGTGAGCTGACTAGTCTTTCTGACATTTTCAATACTAATGTGTCCGAGGCGACAATGCATTAGCTTAATATCGGGTTTTATATCTGAAAGCCCCGCTGGGTAAGCAACGTTCGCGTACTCGTCAACTGCTTCTTTTATAAGACAGCGTGCATCAGTATATAATAGAATGGACCCTTTTGACGTCTTCACATATCCATCATGGATTGTGCAGCCCGCTCTGAGTAATTTCTTTCCACTGACTAGATTAGTGGGAAAGCCTGGGACGTAAAGACATTTTTTCAATTCTATAACTTGATGTCTTCCTCCTTCCAATGCAACAATCAGTTGCACTGTTCCATGACCTTTAGGTGTGACGCTTCCTCCGCCACATTGTATTGGCCTCAAGCCAACCTCCTCCTCATAGTGAGTGAATCTGTCCAGAGAGTTGGCTATATGCTCATCTGACCCCGTGTCGTTAAGCCAACGGTCGTTCCAGTGAGTTTTTCGTATTGCGTAGGTGGAGGGGCTCTGACCATCCGAGCAACTGCTAAGCGCGACGTGGCTAAAGGCGCTAAATGCGGGTATTCCAAAGTTTGAAGTCGGATTGTTATCTGTATCATCATCTTGGATTTCTTTAGACTTTCCTTTGCCTTTTGCGTCGCGTCTCTTAAGCTTGTCGGTATTTTTCTGGTTCAGATAATTTTGACGTGTAAGCCATTTTTTCCCATTTTTAGCCTCCCAATCCTGACGAAGCGATTTATTGTGCTCATAGCACTTGCCATTATTGCAATATTGGCAATTGAATTTATTGCCGCCTTCATTAGCCTTCCCTCTTCCCTTCGCCATCATAGTAGTGCTAGAGGAGCATGTCTCGAAATTGCGTGCCTCATCTAGGAGATCAGCAATTAAATAGTCGAGTGAGGGAGCTACGGCGGTGTTTCGAGCCTGGGATCTCTGTCTCTCGGCCCAAACTGGAAACTTTCTAGCCACTCCGGCGATAAAGAACATTCCATTCCATCTCTCTGGTATAGAATCAGAGAGTGAGGAGATCTTTTCGACCCTTTTGGTGAACTCAGAAACATAGTGGTTGAGGTTGATGAAGTCTTCAAATCTTATATTCGACCAATCAATTATGGCTCGATACTCTAGATTCCAACCTTTTCCCTCAAACCGTTCTTGCAGACTTGTCCACATTTGGAGAGCTGAAGTCTTGCCATCAATCATGCCGTGAATATTTGGGGCTGAGTTGATCATAATGGCTAGTTTCATCCTAGCATCTCCAGCGAGCCACTGCTTTCTCATTTCAAATGCCTCCTTATTCAAAAATCTTTCTTTGATGGACATATGTGGGGGTTCTTCCACTTCATCACATATGTAGTCCTCCAAGTTGTTGGCTAGAGCAATGTTCTCCATATTGTTCTTCCATTGCTCGTAATTTTCCTCCCCCTTCAACTTGAAATAAGGAGGCAACTGGAGTGTACCGACATTTCCCATAGCATTTGAGGAGGCCTTGGGTTGACTCCACACAGGCTTATTGCTTGACGTAAGCATCTCCTCAATCTTTGGAGCCATCTTGGAACTTTCGAAATCTTGGACAGACATTGCACCTTTTCGTATAATTAATTTAGGTTGAGGTTAAGAAATCTTTTGACCTATTAGCTTTTGCTACCGGACTCAGAACCTGTTGTTATTTATGCGACAGTGGAGTTAAGAGTATACTGCATACCAGCTGTATATTCAGCTGCGTGTGGATACTTGCTCTCGAAATCAGATTCCTTATAATATAAATATATATATAATTTATTGTGTGTGTTATAACTACAACTATTAGTACACCTTTTCTTGTTCTTACAATTATCTACACACTTTACAATTACGGAAAGTGTGGAATTCTAAGCGAGACACGTGATACAATTACAGATTTATCGCATGACTTTCAACACTTATTTATCAGGATTGTCTTCTATATAATCTTTTTATGTGGAGATAACCAGGATCTAGTGCTCTATCATTCTGGTCTGGCCTTTTGGCCGAGCGGTTATGCACCTATCTCATGCATAATGTAGGATGGTGCCCTTTAGCCTGAATACCACCTCTTTGACCCTTGTCTCCGCCCTGCTGTCTACATGCTGCTCTGACAGTATTAAACTTTCAGTGAGGGATGAATTGATGACAATGATATAGGATAGTGAATTTAATAGTCTAATTGGCCAGACTTACAAAAAAATTATTCCTGACATTCCGAGTGTTGTGCTGGTGATGGCTAGGATTACAATGCACAAGGGTAATGGTCACTGAGGGTGAAGGAAGAACTTTCCAGGTGGCACCATGATGAGTAGAAGACTAATGGAGCACTGTATAGAAAGTGTTTCTAGATTGTACTGGCAGATGGAGGAGACTAGAATATTCCGTGGTACTGTTTTGGGTAAATAAGGCGAGAGTCTGGCTACCTCAGATGTATATATAATTAGCGCTTTCTACCTCCTAAATCCTCATAGTTCTGAATATCAAATATATCAGCAGTTCACATTGATTCATTGATAATCATCCGTAAACCTTCTGCCAATTAACCTCTGTAAGCTCTTACCTTTACAACACCAAGATATATTATATTTCAACATTGTCAATTTTCTGTCATACATTCTTAGTTGTGACCAGCAACCTCTCATCAACTATAACCAAACAATTTACACTCTAGCACGCAAAAATCCAACTTAAATGCAACAGCTGATGTGAGTAGCTTATCCGAGATATTTGTAGAGAGACAATTTTGTTGGCAACCTCAGATAAAACACACAAAGAGTGTGATCTAAACTTAAGAGTCGGAATTTCCAACAGATTGCAGATTGTGGGTATAGTGCAAAAAGCTTAACAATAGCATCTATATACAGGGGCTATTCAATTTTTTCCTCAACATATTATTATTGTTGAGGCTAGACTAATTTTAAAGCATCATCATTCTGGTGAGAATTGTCATGGTCTAAATAATAGACTGCTGGATTGAGGTTTAGATATTTCTGCATGAAAGTTTCAAGTCCCCTAGGGAAAGCATAATGGGGCTTGATTGTTGTGAATACCACAGATCATCTCCGATTGAGACTTATCAAGCTTCCACTATTGCAGCACTTGGACACTCGGGCGCAGGAAGCTAGGTGTGATCAGGGCACTGATAGCACAGCTAAGTACCTAATCACTCTGAAAACGTCCCTACATCCGAGCGTTGCCTGGTAGACCAATGCGTCTAGAATGAGGTACATATCACTCTGATGGCTACCGAGGGGCAACAGCATCTAATGTGACGACGGTGTGTAGCTCTGTAATCCCGGGAGTTCCACACTAGCAACCATTATCAATAGTATGTTATGTCAGGAGACATTGGTAGTGACTATAGAAGTGGTTACTGTGACAGGAGTAGGAAGTACCTGTGATGAGTGCGTGATCAGGAATGGGGGCTGAAAATGTATATAAGGAAGCTATACTTCCACAGATAGATAGACAACCATCTTACCACTGTTCATTCCAACGCATCTTCGCATCACAGCTACATCAATTATATCTGCACATCCATAATCATCTGCATCTATTCCAGGTATTCCTCTGTTTTCTCATGAACTTGTTATCATAACATTGATGGCACCTATTGGGATTTGTTTAGATTTTAGATTGTATAGGCCTGATTCAAAAGGCTGGATTCTTAACAGCGCTAGTATTTTGGTCTCGCTTGTAATGTACAAATACAGTGACGCACACACTAGATATAAATTGTGTAATGTTCTGTTAATTAAACCCAACCTTAATCCACCAGACACTTTATTACATTGACATTGCACCTCGCCCCCCTTAACAAGAATGTTGCTATTAGTATGTAGTATCCAAGGGACAATAGTAGTCAGGCTCTAAAAGGTTAACTAAGCTAAATCCCAGTCATCCCATGGTGTTGTTTTCAGTTATAAACCCAGATATGCTCTATAGAATTAATTGACATGGTTGATAGCCATTTTGAGTATTAAATACAAGGCCTTGCTCCCTGCCATTTCTGTCCACAACTACGAAAAAATAAGATAAAGGTCCTAGATATTTCTTAAATCAAAAATCTCAATTTCTATGGATATTTAATCTTACCACCTTGGTAAACCTCGGTATCAAGTACCATAGGAAACAATCTATGCGGAGATTGGCCACTAAATGTGCTACTGATAATTTCGATTGGGTAGTGATTTACTTGTCCGAGCGTCAGGCTGTGTGCTTTTGCAGCTGATGCAAAAACACTCTCTGAGTAAAATATTACACCATGACAATTAAACATTGCATATCCATCATTCACGGCCTGAGTCGCACATAATGATGTAAATAAGCTCAGAATTGTTGTGGCTTTAGTGAAATGGATGAACTTCATTTTGCACGTGGATAAAAACGTCCTGGTTACCAAAGACGAGACTTCTGTTTTGGTGGGAACTCTTTCTCTGGTGGAATTGATAATTTCGGGCTTTGGAAAATTTTGTGAGATGGCGTGAGTGAGTGCAGGATAGACTCAAGAGCGGGTCAGAGATATAGAAGGAAACCTCAGAGGGAAGGATGCACACCACTGTACTTGAGTCTTTAGAGAATAGCAGATTCTTACACATCTTTTAATATATATTGGCACAAGGATGGCCTTTTTAGTTGGTAAAATGACAAAGAGGTGGAGATATTTCTCTAGAATTCTCTTGCTCATGGAAAATTGTGACAAAGCCAAGCCAGCCAGCATTGACCTTTGATAAGTTACCTGTAATAGGAAATTTTAATTTCGAAGTAGCATTGTCTTGTTTAGCTAGCACTAGTCATGTCTTCTATGTTGGCAATGGTCAGATTTCGAGTGTCCCATGAGCTTGTGAAGATAGCTTAGTGTATGATTGAGGGTATTTGCAATATAGTCTCTTATGTATAGAAAATTTTAATTGTTCATAATGACTGGGGTTATATCCCTGTAACTTTGAAATTGATTGGATTGGTTTTTGTGTGTGCCCATGTCTAGTTTGTCCACTAGTTATACAAGCAAGGGTGTTATGCAATGACCTTTTGTGAAAGTCAAAATTAATGGGGATGCTGTAGTGAAGAAGCATGAAGGTTCCTTTTTAATTATTAAATGTTGTGCTAGCTCAAAACACAAGCAATTTTTTGAAATTCGAAATTTCGAATCTTCACCTTTCCTTGTCTCCCTCTCTCTCGCTCTCATTGCATTCTATCAAATCATTGTGATCGAGTCACTGGCATTTTCACCATACCACCTGTTCGAAAGAAGCGTCCCAACGCCAAGCTGGACATTAAGAGAGTCCACCCGAGGGCTCTCGAACAAGTACCTGGCCTTGCCCAGCCTCCTAAATGCGCGGAGATGAGCAAGGTTTCAATCAAAGGGAAGGAAAAAGCCCTCCCCCCGTCACTGAACCCAATACTGACATGATCAGGTCAGTCAAAATTGTTGAGGAAATTCCTCAACGAGGCTCTGTTCCCCACAGGATTGGAGAATCGTCCACACCTCCTCTGACCACCTCAAAACTGTCGGAAAACGCTGCACCTGTAGCAGTGTCAACATCAACATTGCAACCAAAAGCCGCCACAAAAGCAGAGTATCCCCTCGAGTTCCGACCAATAGTCGAAGCTGAACAACGACGCGCCGCCGAAATGACGGCAAATCTGGCCCTCTGTGCCGCCCCCATTTCTGGCGTCTAAGCCACCCTCCTCCCTTTTACCAACGGGTCAAATAGACTATTCGCAGACTCGATGAGAGTCTACCCACGTGCCGCCATTGCGCAATACATGGCCTCGGGCCCGGCCACTACGCCACCGATTCTCCCTCTTCTCCCGACGAACCCTATCCCAAGGGTTCCCGACGCCAGGAGCCAAACAATACTCACCGTCCCAGCTCTACCCGTCTGTCACAGTTTCAGTACAAAAGGCTTGGGCGATCTTGTAAGTACAGTATATTAATAATAATTCTGTAGAGAGAGAATTCCTATAGCTAGAACACAAATACATATACTCTGAGTGTCACAAACCATTACTGGGATGTCGTGTTGCACCCAGGCAACCGAGTTATGACGTGTATACAATAACACTATTTAGGTATTGTAATGGTTACAGTGTTGTGATAGCAACAGTTGCCATTCAGAGTACTAGTTAGTTACTGTGTTATGGCTGTAAACTACTACACCCTTGGTTATAGTATTGAAGCTCGTGTACTTAAGGAAGCTCTAGGACAGGATGTGTACTGTAGCTTTTTGTCTTGTAAATTACTCATGTTTTAGAATCTAATTATTAATCTAAATATCTCGTCCTCATTATCAGCCTCTGTCTTCGTCCTCGTCCTCGTCCTAGTCTCCGTCTCCGTCTTCGTCCTCGTCCTCGTCCTAGTCTCCGTCTCCGTCTTCGTCCTCGTCCTCGTCTTCGTCTTCGTCCTCATCCTCGTCCTAGTCTCCGTCTCCGTCTTCGTCCTCGTCCTCGTCTTCGTCTTCGTCTTCGTCCTCGTCCTAGTCTCCGTCTCCGTCTCCGTCCTCGTCTTCATCCTCGTCCGTGACACTGAGATACTCGTCTTCTGTAAAGTTCTCCCTATATTTAGAATAACATGGACTTCTCGACAATACCCTAGAAGACTCTTGATACACCTGTTGTCCTCATGAACCTTTAGTGTGCTTCCAGAAGGTTCATTGAGAATCTTCTAAGCTCCTTGTATTCCGATATCCTTCCCGAAGATTCCCTTGCATTCATTGCCTGCTCTAGCCAGTGTAGGCTACAGGAATCGCTAGGCTTAACAGCCGTTACACTGTCAAAAACACCTGGGTCACGGTGGCCAGACACGGACTGCAACAAAAATCAGTCCCTACTGCCAAGGCTGTGCCGCTACCTGCGGCCAAAGCCCAACAAAAAGAAACCCCCAAGGCGAAAGTCGACAAGCGACTGTTTGCCTTGAAAAGGATCACCCGTGTCGAACACTGTCCACAAGTAGCTTGAGATCTAAGTTGGAGTATATATTCGGCTACTTTAACCAAGAAATAACCTTACTCCACCGAGTGAGAACGGGCTTTGCTTTGCTAGCAAAGAACGAAAAAACGTGACAAGAGACTTTAGATGGCTCTTCGAAGCTAGCAAGTCAAAACGTCAAACTCGAGGCATCCTCGGATCTTGTTGCCTTACAGATACCGAACGTACCTGTAAGTATAGTTACAGTGTGCGGCCCCAGGGTGGTTGATGCTAGGTGTGTCTCTGCCAAGATTCTCAGTATGATTGGCGCGCTTCCAATCCAGGTCCGACCTCATAGGACATGTCAACCTGGGGCACCATATCAAAACTGGCATGCCATTTTTACGCGGGACAACGCCCCTCGTACTGGCTTCCACCTCTTCAACGAGTCTAGTATGGCTACCATTCACAAGCCTCGTCGCCAAATTGAACAGTGTAAATGCTGTTTGGGCTTCCACGCCACTCGTGGTTGCTTCCGCGCTCCAGCCTGCTGGAACTGCGGCTCGAGCTAGGGCCGCAGCCAAAAAGGCCGAAGAGGCGATTGTCGCCGCGGCGAAGGATGTCGCAATGGCCAAGGCAACAGGTTTCGGAGTGCCGGGATCTGAAGAAGAAGCCTGAGGGAAAAGCAACCTTGACAATATCCCTCCTGGGGCATCTACTAACTATCAGCAGGATACCGGCTGGATAAAAGGTGCCTGCTAATATTGTAATTTGTTTGCTAGACCTGGCGGTGTAGCTTATCACAGTTAGAGAGTGTATTCTAGAATGCAGTGGTGGCTCGTTACAGATGCGAATGCGACAATACAATTGAGGGTTGTATGAAAGTTTGGCATTTCTATGAGTCTCAATTGTGTGGAGGTTGATTTAATTATTGAAGATAATTGCTTGTTATGTCTATCTACAGAGAATGTGCTACAGCTCTACATGTGCCCGCAATTGCTTATATTTGGCTAGTGGGCTGTGCCCTCTTTTACTTCGCTCCCGTGTTCCATCACGTGAGATGTAATAACTGCTCACCACAAAGTCCGCAGATTGAACAGCGTTAGATCACAACAGCTAACTCATCTTTTGCTCTCAGCATAGAAGGAGCAAATTTGTCATTTGGAAGGTGTGATTGACCAGGGAATGTGTGAGGAACGCATTGCTTGGGTCAAATATGGAGGAATCTTCTGGTTTTCGGAGTTGTTTTGATTTTCTTGATTTTCGTTTCTGTTTAATCAGCTGCACTTTTGGTAGCAATTCACGTGGTTGGAATGAGTTGGGCCTGTATACAGTGATCCTCACCGGCTCCACCTGTCTTTGACCCATTGTGGGAAAAATAGCATTAGCTTAGGACAAAAACAATAAAACAAAAAAGCAACCATAAAGTATGAAATTTTTATTTACTTTTTTAATTATTTATAATACTTAGCGTCGTGCCGACGCATAGCATGTGAGCTCTTCACGTGTCGGCTAGCTCAGTCTTAATAAAACTACCCGACGTGTTGGCGCCTGAACAGACCCAACAAAGCAAATGAAAGCCAGTATCTTATCATCCTGAACTTGAAGATTTAATTATACATGGCTACCGGTCTCCCTTCCACTCTCATGTTTTCAGATTGTATTGAATGAAGAATAGATTAAAGAAATAATATGGGAGGGGGAACCTAGTTGAATCACATGATTCCCTTTCGGTCACACTTGTTGTGCTTTTCCAAAGTGATTTGTGACACGCACCCAGCTATTAAATGCGTGAACTCCCTCCGCGGAAGCGAGAGCCAAAGATATGCTGGGACTAGGATTCTATGCTCTGTGGAGCTGTGCCTGGTACAGCCCAAGGTGGCAATAGAAAAAGTGGTTGGGTGACTTTTTGTATGTGCATGAGCAGGTTTGAATGGCGTTTTCGTGTTGAAACCGTCGGTGGTAGTCTGCGAAATTGCCATGTCCAGACCGTGCAGCCATTAGATATCCAAGTGTGCGATGCCCTAGACAGACGAGCTCGGCAGTATTCTTTTTATCTAGATGGAAAATTTTCTGCCTAATAAAGTGCAACAGAAGCCTCGTATTGGGCTTTGACTTCCCTTCTTGCCCTCGCAATAGAAAATACCAAGTGTAGAGCTGGAGCCGCACAAGCAGCTATGGCAAGCGCGTCGGCTGCTTCGTTTCCCAGAATACTAACATGACCCGGGAATCATTGGATGGTGTGACAGAAACCGAGTTGTTTGTGAATAAATCGATTTATTAAACTATATGAGGAGAAAAGAGAACTCTAGCTACAAATAACAGGTATTTATAAGAATTGGTCCCCTTCGTCAATCTCCAGACTGATGACTTATCCTTAGGCACAATACTTGCTACCCAGCCACGCATTGCCAGGTGTTATTTAGTTGTAGTAACGCTTCGACCTCCTGACTAGTAGTG